GACTTAGTGGCATGGCTCAGAATCGATCACAATGGCGTAGGTGTATACACTCTCTGTCTTCCCTTAAGCTATGAGATTGAAATCGCTTCGTATCTTTCTTTCTACGAACTAATTCCTTCTTCATGTACTATATCCTTATTGCAATCTTTCTTTTATATATTATCACCACTGAATTAACTACTTCTATGAATCCAGTGTTCATCTTGCTGTGCTACTGAGGTATGGCAACTTGAACCGATGCATATATGTGCCTGGTCCTACGTTGTAGCAGACTGACTGACTAATATGTTGTAGTCCAATTTTTGAGTTTGTCTGGGTAATAAATCCACAGGTTTGTTGTTTCACTGCTTTTAATGTATTAGACACGAAGAAATCTAATAAAAAACGAACTAGTTTCCCACTACCGATTGTTAGAGCCTTGGGATTGTACCACTTACTGTTACATTTTAGTACTTATTTGTCTGGCTCCTGTATTATCGAACGATATTAGCGCTTATAAAACATATATCCTAATTGATTTCGTACATGTCTTGTCGACCTAAAAGTTGGATACAAGAAGAATTTCAGACGCTTGTATTTCAGACATCCATTAATACGAGCAGACGAGAGATGCGAGTTGCAGAAGGTAAACTGCCCTACTCAATTTATTTAATAACATTTATAGGCATGAAAAATACGAGTACATAAATACTTTTGTACTATCATAAAGACATGTTCAATATCACGAATCTAAATAATACAATGAAAAGATAAAAGTAATTTATCTGTTAGGATAGATTATACAGGTGTTTAATTAGATAAAGTTGCTATATCTTAGTTTTCTTGTTTGTTCTGGGTAATTCATATAAAAATAGTTTTTATACATCTACTAGTTCACCAGTTTGTTTGCAGAAGCCTGTATATAGACTTCTGGACTAACCCATTCTTAAACCCCGGTCTTACTGAAGCTTATTCCACTTTTTTTATCATAGGCTGAACCCTCGAATTTGATGAAGCTAGTAAACATTTTAAACCTTATAAAATCGGGTGACAAAATACCTGTTGGAATTCTTAGCAACAGGCCTGCTACAAATGAAGTATATCATTTTACAAGTCAGTAAGACATTTAGGTTAGGAAAGTAGGTCATCGCCGGCTGGTTATAACAAGACGAGAGGACTATCCTTTTTCTCAAGGCTTCAGTATATCTCTGCATGAAGTAGCTGCAGCAGGATTGAGATTGCGTCAGTTTGATACAAGACTTCTCAAACTATACAGTTTGCGCTTCCTTGACCTGAGTGCTAATTTACTGGAAACAATTCCTCAGGAAGTACAATATCTCAATGTAGCTCATTTGTGTTTATGTAAAAACCGCATCACCCAATGGCCGTCAATTTCCGAAAGTTCACCACTAACTAAAACCCTGGAACTTATCGATTTGAGCAGTAACAATTTAACTTGGTTGCCAGATGATTTTTGGGTCCTTACCAACCTTAGAAACGTCAACCTTTCAAGTGAGCTTCATTTAATTTATCATATTGGTAGTCATTTTATTTCATCTTAAATTATTTGTATGCGTGATTCTTACCTAATGGTGCTTCAAAGTTGCAATATGTTCCAACTAGCGTTATCTGGTTTTTTTATACACTTATCATAATAATAGGTCCTTCAAGGTAGGCGTTTTCAGTTGCTTATTACAAATCCGTGTAATTTCTCATCGAGGTTGTGTTTTTTTAGGTTAAAATGTATATGTATCTATAGAATTCCACAACCACTACCCCTTTGAAAAATAATGCTTTCTATGATTATAAGATTATATACATGATTGTTCCATCGGGCATCAACCTCAATATGTTCGTTTGCAAGCTTATATTTTTGAACTCGAAACACCAACCGTAAAAGTAAAGCTGACGTGAATATTATAAAACGATCGTAAAAGCAGTCTAGTCAACATAAGTTGATAGAAATTGTTCGCTAGTTTGTGCCTGAGCGTCTGATGTATCTATTGTGTTAGTTAAAACATGTTCTTAGGCCTTCAATATGGCAGATGTATTCACACACAAAACTAATGTTAATAGTCTATTTAAACCTAGTAGAGATTTTCATTCTGTAGTAATTGTTTCCCGAATATGGTTAACAAAACTTAACCAGAGAACATTTTACTACTTTTAATACACAGTCACATAGACCCGATTGTAAAATGCATTGTTTATTGAAATGATACATAAACTAACGTTTCATAACAGGCATTTTTTGTGGGCTGGATCGTTGACTGTGCAGAACTCAGAATATTCTGTTATTGATAAAACGATCTTTTAAACATATATTTCAATCCTTAGATTGCTGGATGTCAATAAGGTTTATAGTAAGGGTAAACAAAGTAATTAGCATATGATAACGAGGATTCGAAACTTAATCTAACTGTTTGAACCGAGTAGAACTAAGATTTAAATGGCTGCACATCTAATAAATAGAAGACTAAGTATCAACGTAATTTTAGGAAACAACTATAATTGCACATAATTCTGATAACTTTCGTCTTCTCATTGTATGATCGAAATATATTTGAATGATATGGTTGCAAAGTTAAGGCTTATGATACAAACTCTTTGTAAATGACTATTATTTAGCTCAAACATTGTTAAAAGACTGGGATGTTTTTTGTACCCTTCTATCGTTCCTTACAAAGTACAACTAAATATAATGACTAGTAAACCTTACAACCATCACTTATAGGTTCGAAAATGTTATTCAGTCATCAGCAGCGTAGAACTTCATACGTACGTAAATCAGTTCGAGTTGCCATACCACACCATTGAAATAATTAAGAAATTATTGTGTTCATAACAGTAGGCGGAGACGATTTTCTATCAAGGGTCTTTTTTATTCTGCCTTATGTTCTATGGCTCGAATAAAAACTTTCTAACATCCATGACTGTCCTATAATTGGGATATAGATCGAATTTAGAGGAACACTAGAGTAAATGAGATTTTTCATCAGACCTTGTCCCCACAAATATTATGATATAGTCTTTGCGAATGCACCTTGCGTTAACTGAAAAACCAAGGATTCAGTGCTTATCTACACCAAGAGACCTCTGTTTTAGGGGAATGTCCAATAAAAGCAGTTAGAAGTGGAAGTAGAGACATTAATAAGAACCAAACATTTCTCCAGTGGAGATCTTTCTATTTACTTCTTTGTCAGCAAATTTTCAAAATCGTAATACTATAGTGTGCTTTTCCTGTACTTTTACGACAGATAACAGACTGAGAGGTGTCCCAGTTGCTTTCTTGCACAAGTTAGACCGGCTCTCTGTGCTTATTTTGAATGATAACAAATTGGACTCTTTGCCATCTATATTACCTTCTCGTCAACTAAACCAACTAGTAGTTTACAATAATCCGTTTTTACCTTCCGATTTGGTTGTTAAACCGAGTGATCTTACCCTAACGTTACTCAGCTGTGCGTCAACAAGTTTCCTTCGTAGTAATTGGTATGTGTTTCTGTACTTATTTTTCTTATTCCGATTTCGTAAGATGGAAAATTATCAGAGTATGTTAAGGTATTTCATAATTATTTGCTGGTAGTAGCCATTACTACTAATCGTTTCCCTACAATCTGACACTTGCTAGATACTCAGTAACTGATGAAAAGTAGTTCATATCTTTGGATATTAAAATCTACGTTTACAAATATAAACAACTACAAAGTTAGAAATTAGGTCAAAGGCGATGGTAGTTAGAAGAAGTGCAAAACATAACACATGATGGCAAAACGATTCAGTATTGACAGAAAATACTAATCACTTGTGGAGAAATCCTAGCAATCACCTTCATCCTTAGGTATGCGCAGATGATTTACTTCAGGACAATAAAAGCTTTGCAGTTAAATCATTCAACTCAGAAACCCAACTTCACTAGTATGACCAGTTTGTGGGTTACTTATTTTGCACATAAGCCATCCTGTTTCTATCAAGATTGTTTTGTGTGCGTTTAGTTGGTAAGAAAATTACTGTATGCACATATTTTAAGAAAATCTCATCCCCACTTTATATATGGCAGTTTAGCAATGATAAACATTGGAAATCGTAGACTACCACAGTGATGATAGTCGTTCTTCGTGCACCACTTTCGATTATATATGTCCAGACTATCGTGCTTTTTTTAGATCCCACTACCTTTATCAAATAAAAGTACATCTATACTGAAACCCTCATATTTACAAATTAATTACTTAGAAAAACCTATTTAATTTTGAAGCTTTAAGACTGTGTTTACACCTAATTGCGTGTGCGGGACTCATAACATAGTGTACACTTCAAATGACAGTTACCTAGTACGATTCAGTAACGCTTAGGTAGTGATCCCATGTTTTTAAAACTCCTTTTGGTTGTTCTACAGGTACCCCTGTCTTGAAAGTATCTTACCTTGGAGTTTGCGTATTCGCTTGGCAGTATTTAGAACTTGTTTATGTTGCCGTTTAAGATGTGGTGTGAATCCTTACCGCATTCTTGTGTCGTATAAAAGTTGGATGAACATTTCTTGTGATCGCCAGAGCCCCCCAAACATTTTGGCCTATTTATGCAGCGAAAGATGTCTAACAACTTTCAGTTCCAATACTTGGAAATACGCTTTAGATTAATTTTTGAATAATGGCTCTTTTTCATGTTGTAAAGTTCGAATTACTTTTTGGTCAATGCAGTGTCAGAAACATGTTTATTAATGATAAATAGTACTGATGAATCCATACACTTTCTTAATATCAGTTTTTGATTTTACTGAGAATGGTTAGTCTTAAAGGTAGTGAATATCCCCCAAATGGATAAAGTTAGTAGGCGCACAGAACTGTAGTAAGAATTTAGCAACTTATTCACTGGGTTTAGAAAGAGTAACATCAGGGTTGTTCATAAAGTATTCGGATTTCGTGCATTCGTAACTCGGAAATTCCTTGCACTTCGGCCTAGAAACTTGTATAACTATGAGTAAATTGTATTCTTTAATAAGAGGAAAGATGTACGAAAAGTAAAGAATGAAGAACTTGCATTTATTTGTCTGTCTCAGATAAGCAAAATACAAATGCTAGACAAAATAGTAGTCAAAATTTCTGAACATTTGGGTCAGTAAGGTCATTGAGTTCCCACACCGTCTTTGTTAAAATGCGACGTAGTTTTTCGAGTTCTTCTGTTACTGTTAGCAACCTTTTGATTACTTTTTCACGAGCTATAATTAGTTGCTTTAATTCAAGACTTGGTTCTCTGTTCATTATCGGGGTATCCACATAGGGGACAAGATCAGAAACGTCAGCAGGAAGTAAGCGGTCACAGCTTTCTTTTACTACATGAAAGGCCTAAAATAGAATGGGGGATGGATCACGTTGATCCATGTACACAAGTTACATTTTACGAAATAAGCAATGCAAAGCTCAACGTATAGAGTGGTTTCGTACTTGTCTATACTGACTTTTGAATAAAGAACATGAGCGATCAAATCTCCACGCTGATTTGGGAATTGCTAATCTAAAGGAACAAAGCTCATTTAAATTTCAATCGCTGAGATTATTTTAAATATATTTTTTCCACATATGACTTCTCTATACCCGGCGCCCAATTTTTGTCGAACTATCCGTTCTAATATTGATGAATATTCGTATAAAGCGTATAGTAGGTTGTATGCAGTGGGAGTATGTTCAATACGAGGGTTGATGTTTACATTGCTTGTACAGTTAGGGTCTACGAACTGGTTAGTTTCTACAACTCGATGCATATTGGCATAGAATATAGAATGAAAGTGAAACAAATTTTCGATGAAATGAAGTCCAATAAGTCCGTAATGGACAAAAAAGTGCCTCTACTGAAATTTAGTATCTACACTAAAAAGTCGAATCAAAACGACTCTAAAGCTCTCCAAGTATCCGACAACCTTCATAAGATGTTAAATTAGCTAGAAGTAAAGGTTGGTTATACCGTTATTACAGACAATCTGAACGGAATTGTGATTTTAATGCATCATTTTGTCGGAGCTGCGCATATATTAGTATTTGAGGGGTTGGTGTTCCACATAACATTTGGCGGATAGCATGCACCACTATACACTGTAACTTGAAATGAGGGCCGCTTATCTTAAATCCAAATACTTATAATTATTCCCTAAACAGCTGAAAAAGAGTATTCGAATACATTCTGGAGCAGGCATTTTTACCACAAGTAGGATGAGACAACAAGTCATGTGTATGACAGCTATACGAGGTTAACCCACTCTACGAGTCGAACACTGTAACCAGTGGCATATCTTTGCAATTATTTAGCCTAAGACAACAACCGGTGGTGATCCACTTAAATCTTCTAAACTACTTGGTTTGTTAGTGCTTCAAAGCTACAACACTAGCCATCACATACAACGATCCACCTGACAAAACTTTCACCGTCACTAGTAACAGTACAGAAAACGTAAGTGGGACCCTTATAAGCTAACATTTAAAATTATTTGACAGTAATACCTGTTGAAGAAGTTCTTTGTTGCTTTTCATGTGCTGCAACGTTTCGACGCATTGTGGTCCAGCGATAGATGCTTGGTGAGTACTGACCCCTCGGGTTTTAGGATCCATGCACGCGTAGAACAGCAACATTAAGTCTCTCAACCCGCTTAACATATCCTGCAACGCTTCTTGACCGCATTTCGACGCATGTATAGGATTCGATAAATCTTTGGTATGTAGCCGACCTTCTAGTTCCTAAAACGTAGATTTTTACAATTTATTAACGTAAATATATGGGGAATCAAGAAAGTAAGGTTTAGTACTAAACATTTATTCTTTAGAAAATGGACTGCCTTTAGTATTAAGTATATCTACGTAATAACCGGACCTTCTCGCTAAATGCAATCGATTTTTCACCTTATCGACCGGATCCCATGATTCTGAACGGATCTTCCAAAATTCAAGCAACTGTTGTAATTTGCTTTCCTCTTTTTTTTCACGCATCATCTGTTCCTTTCGTATCAACACAGCATGACGTTTATGTAGCCTTTTCTTCTGATGTCTCTTCATTTTCCGCCTGCGAATTTTGATATCATTTTTTAATTTGATGGGGATAGCATTTGGTAGAGATGGCAATGTAATGGATTGGCTCAATACGATAGTGTTCACAATAGGTGTTTTAAATTCACTTATGTTGTGATTGACTAGTTTGACAGAGTCAGGAAGGGTAAACTTAGTATCAGCAGACTTGGGTTGGATATTCATTAAGTTATGTGAGCTTATCAATTGTTGTTTATTTGTAATCGTTTGAATTGGATGTACATAGGTATGCACTAATCTGGGGAGAGCTTTTAAAAGTCTGAAGCGCTAAAATGGGTCTTTTATAAGGACGACGTAGGTCGTACCTGTAGCATTTCAAGCATTTGAAAACCAAAGGTGTGGACAGTAAACGTTAACTTGTGGTTTTGAGATTCGCTGCGTCGCTCCGACGACCTTGAGCACTTAAATTCACTGCGGTCAGTGTGTTTTAAATGTTTAAGTTTGGTTGAACGTCTTCAGGATGGTTGAATATATAGGTGTTCTGTTGGCATCAGTGAATCACTATAATATTGCAGCGTTAGACAACTCTTTTTATTTGGATTAAATTTATAAGGAGTTGTTAGTGTGACCTGTTTTCTCAGAAGGTATATAGATATGGGACAGCTGTTTCATGCAAGTGGTTGTTGATGAAACGAAAATTGTTTATACCTAGTTACATCTCCGATGTAGAGGCAAATAAATCCCCATAATAGATACTTCTCAAAGTCCACAACGTTGATGCTGACCTCATTAATTTTACTGGACACATACTGACTGAGGGCACCCGGTCACGCATTCACACCACATCATGAGTATGTATACCGTGCTACGTATCTATTGTAACTACTAGTCAGTTTATGACAAATGCTACTGAACAAATCGAAAACCTTTAAAATATATCTTCGAACTCATTCTTACCTGACTTCTGATTTGACTAGGTTGTTATCCTTCGATTATAAGGGTGTTACGGACGAAAGCGTTGTCGAACTCAGGATATCTGTATTGTCTTGTTCAGTCTTGCAGACGTGGTTATTATTTGCATCACTTATCTCATTTACTTACTTACTTACGCATGTTACTCCCAAAGGAGCATAGGCCGCCGACCAGCGTTTTCCAAAAAACTCTGTCCTGGGCCTTCTTTTCTGGTTCCATCCAATTCTTGTTCATTTTTCTCATGTCTATCTCCATTTCCCGGCGTAACCTGTTCTTGGTCTTCATCTTTTCCTTTGACCTTCAGGATTCCATGTGAGGGCTTGTCTTGTGACGCAGTTGGGTGCTTTCCTCAATGTGTGTCCTATCCACTTCCAGCGTTTCTTCCTGATTCCCCCCTCCACTGGACTCTGGTTTGTTCTCTCCCACAGTAGGTTCTTGCTGATAGTGTCCGGCCAATGGATCTGAAGTATTTTGCGTAGACAATTGTTAATAAACACCTGTATTTTATGGATGATGGCTTTCGTAGTTCGCCTAGTTTCCACCACATACAGTAGAACTGTCTCGACATTTGTATTGAAAATCCTGACCTTGGTGTTGGTTGACAGTTGCTTTGAGTTCCAGATGTTCCTCAGTTGTAAATATGCTGCTCTTGCTTTGCCGATCCGCGCCTTCACATCTGCATCAGATCCACCCTGTTCATCAATGATGCTGTCCAAATATGTAAATGTTTTTACATCTCCGATATCTTCTCCGTCAATTGTGACTGGATTGTTGCATGCTGTGTTGTATCGTAGAATTTTACTTTTCCCTTTGTGTATATTGAGACTTACTGCTGCTGAGGTTGCTGCTACAATGGTCGTCTTCTCCTGCATTTGTTGTTGCGTTTGGGATAGAAGGGCCAGATCATCTGCGAAGTCTAGATCGTCTAACTGCATCCTAGCTATCCACTGTATCCCGTGCTTCTCTTCACATGTTGACGTCTTTATGACTCAGTCGATCACCAGGAGAAAGAGAAAGGGTGAGAGTAAGCAACCTTGCCTGACACCGGTCTTTACCTCGAACGAGTCTGTCAACTGTCCTCCATGTACAATTTTGCAGTGTGATCCATCATATGAACTCCGTAGGATATTGACTATATTCTGAGGCTCACCGTAGTGTCGAAGAAGCTTCCACAGTGTTGTTCTGTCTACTCTATCAAATTCTTTTTCGTAGTCAATGAAGATGATGTAGAGTTATGAATTCCATTCAATTCATTGTTACACAGTGATCCGTAGAGTTGCCATTTGGTTTGTACAGGATCATAAGGCGGCCTGCTTGAATATCTGGGCTACCTGTTCCTCCGATCTAGATATTTCATCAAGTTATCTGTTTTGTTGTTTGTTTTAGCACATCATTATGTCTTATGTGCGCACAATTTATTTAGGCGCGTTTATGAAAAGTTTAAAAACTTTCGCTATACGTGATAAAAAAATGTACAATCAGCGAAATCATGGTTGCCGGCAATATGTATTGAATCGAATGAACATTATTCAAATGTGGATTACCGAACTTCTTACATCTAACCGGTCATCATTCAAAATTTATCGTCACAATAGATCAAGGTATAAGAAAAATGAAACTTGTTGAAATACTTTGTGCTGAGAATTCTATGTTGTACCAAAAATATAATGTTGAATAAAGCTTCTAATAATAATAATAATAATAATCTATCCTTACGGAATCCAGCCTGTTGGTCAAGAAGTTGGGTGTCTACGGAGTCCATCCTGTTTAGCAATACCTTGTTGAAGACTTTTCACGATATTGAGAGAAGAGTGATGCCCGTGTAGTTATCACACTTGCTGAGATCGCCTTTCTTTGATATTTTGATCAGCAGTTCTTCTTTCCAGTCTTTTGGTACTTGTTCCTCATCCCAAATCTTATTGAAGAGGATGTGGAGTATCCTTGCAGCTACCGCTACGTCTGCTTTCAGTGCCTCTGATGGAATGTTGTCTGGTCCTGCTGCTTTGCCACTCTTGATTTGTCTAATGGCCATGCTGATTTCTTCAATTGTTGGTGGTCCAACATTGATTGGGAGGTCCGTGGGTGCTGCTTCGATTTTGGGTGGGTTCAGTGGAGCTGGTCTATTCAAGAGTTCTTTGAAGTGTTCTGCTCACCTGTTTTGTTGCTCTTCAATGTTGGTGATTACCTCGCCTTCCTTGCTTTTCACTGGTCGTTCTGGTTTACGGTAATTTACAGCGACTTTCTTTGTTGTGTCCTACAGTTTTCTCATGTTTTCTTCTCTTGCAGCATTTTCCGCCGTCATTGCTAAATCTTCCACATTTTTATGTTTATCGGTTCCGGTGCTCCTCTTCACTTGTTTGTCTATTTCTATGTATTCAGCTTGTGCCTTGGCTTTCTCTGCTCTTGTTCGACTGGTATTGATTGCTGCCTTCTTGAATCTTATCCAGTGTTTCAACAGTGATCCATTCCTTGTGATGGTGCTTCTTGTGACCTAGGACCTCATGACATGTTGAAGTACTTGCCTCTTTGATCCCGTTCCAGATACTCTCCACAGTAGTTCCTTCTCCATTGAGTAGATTATGAAAGGCCTGGAACTTGTTGCTGAGGACTATCTTGAATTTGTTGAGTTTGTTAGTATCCTGAAGAAAGGCCGTATTGAACTTTTGTGATATTGTCCGCCCCATTGTCCAGTGCTTCTTGAGTTTCAATTTCATCTTGGCAACCAGCAAGTGATGATCTGATGCTATATCAGCTTCTCTCTTGGTTCTCACATTCTCCATAGTCCTCCTGAACTTTTTGTTGATGCAGATATGGTCGATTTGGTTTTGTGTAGTGTGATCCGGTGAAGTCCATGTGGTTTTTTGTATGCGTTTATGTGGGAATATGGTGCCGCCTATGACCAGTTTATTGAAGGTACATAGGTATGCAGATCTCTCACCATTTGCGTTTCATTCTCCCAGTCCATGTCGTCCCATGATTTCTTCATATTCAGTGTTGTCCATTCCAACCTTGCCATTTAAATCCCCCATCAGAATGGTCAAGTCCTTTGTTGGGCACTTCTCGATGATTGACTGCAGCCTAACATATAATTGATCTTTGACGTCTTTATTGTAGTCGTTGGTAGACGCATAGCATTGGGTGATGTTCATTGAAATGCCCTCTTTCTTTGTTTTGAAGGAGGCTTTGATGATCCTGGGTCCATGCGATTCCCATCCTATAAATGCTTTTTGTGCTTATTTTGATAGCATCGATGCAACTCCTTGTGTATGTGGGACATTTTCTTCTTCATGGCCGGAGTATAACAGAAGCTATCCTGAAGTTAGTCTTTGTTGTCCAACTTGCGTCCAACGTGTTTCACTGGTCCCAAGCACCTCCAGGTTGTATCTTCTCATTTCTGCAGCAATTCGGAAGGCTCTCCCGGTGTCCTACATTGTACGGACATTCCATGTACCTAAATAAATGGTCGCTCTAGTTGTCAGAAGGGGCATCGGCCTCGTGACTTCCGAAGGAATTCGGCTTTCACTATGAGGCGTCATAGTTCTTCTAAAAGAAGACCTTTTGACTCCCAGGGCAGAGTTTAAAGGGTTCGAGTAATCTTTTCTGGTTAGCGTTGTTTTAGCGAGTTATTTTTCTACGGGATGGGGTCGCTAACCCCATGTCCAACCCTCCTCCTTTATCCGAGCTTGGGTCCGGCAGTAGCCCCCGGAGGGACGCAAGGCAGAGTTAATAATAGTAGTGTAATGAATATCGAACTCTGAAGTAAACCAACAATTTGGGAAAAATCTTTAATGAACTCGGATAAATGCATGTAGACTTATGTAATGGTATATAGAGTGAAACTTGATATTAGTATAAACTTTTGTGCAATAATAATTTAAAATGGTGCTGTGAAAGTCACAATTAATTGCAAAGGATTAGCAAATATATGTGTGTGGTGAAAATGAAATGAATTCGAGAAGTTAATTTGTTTAAGTGTAACTTAGGATAATTTGTTATTATAGACTTTGGATGTTTGAGAATAAAATATGTTTAGAATGAAATGAAGGCTGATCAACTAAGGCCGATCATAAGAAGCTCAAAATGTCCTAAATATTTGTGACTTGCTCAATGTTTTTTTTCTTACCCTGAAAAGTTTACAATCTTATAATCTTTCATATCCTTTGATCTACCATCAGTCCTCAGCATCTTTAAACCACATATGATCTAATCTGTGTTCTTTAAAATTTTACCATATGTTATATTCATAGCAGTGTGATATACTAAATGGACATCTAGCCCATAATACAAATGCTTTAACTATCTGATTTGCTCGTAATACGGAACTAGTAGAGACAGTGCATTCTAACTATGGGCTTTGATTGAAGCAGAATTCATACTTACCACAAACTTAAAAGAGCCTAACATCACAAAAGGAAGGAGGGTGGCCTTACTGACCAGCAAACATGATGGTGAGGAGTTAAATTCATTCCACCCATGTGTGTGGGGCAGAACATTTTGTCGAATTACGGATCCTAACGATCACTTGGAATGTCACGGACTAATGGTATTGATGCTGATTTATTACATAAAATACCTCATTAAATCGTGTTTGTGACGTTGAACTGGTTTCACTTTCTACCGAATAATCCTATTACAAGCAAACTAGACAATTCGCTAAAAACAAAGCCTGCTCAAGCTCCTATAAAATCTACAAAACAGATGGGCTCAAATAGCTTTGACTAAAAAGGAGACAGCCATTTTTGTATCAGAATATTGTTTTCAGCACTATATTTTATGAGTACACACAATCCCATATTTTCAGCTTCTTTCTGAACTACTTTTATTTGTGCAGTTCTTTATCCACTCATACCTTGTTTACACCTATTTTCTTTAACATATTAGAATGCTCTTGCTTAATAACTACCTTAATAAAAGAGAATCAGACTGAGTAGTCATATCTTAACTATTTCTCTGCTTCTCGTCTTTTCTTTTCCTTACACCCTTCTTCAGCCCCCTTGAGATATGCCTCCGAAAACACATATGGAACGGGTGACTTCGTCCTAAGCCATCAGTAAAGCCTCAGATCTTCGAAAGGGATATAAGGTTGAGGTTTCCAGAAGCCCCCGGCTTCAAAAATATCTATTCTGGACCATCAGTTGCACGTCAAAATGCAGCCTTCATAAAGCTCGCCGACTGTGATATTGACAATACGATTCTTACAGAAACCATCTAAATTCATATCTTATAAAATATCAACCTAGCTGAGTAATTTGTTACATTGAACATTGTACCTTTTGTAACAGGTTGATCTTGCCTGTAAACTAGCATGCCTCATGTAACAAAATGTTACTTGAGAATAAAGTATTATTATGGTCACACCATGGCAAATTTACAATTTTAGGATTATTTCTAGTATTAAGGCAGTACCTATAACAAACTAGACCATAATTCTCTAGATGTTTTGATGTATACTTTATTCTATTAACAAGCGGTTGTCCGGCAACTTGCAAGACGCAATGATGGTCTCAATTCTGATGACAATCTGCATTGTACTAAACGTTATAGTTAAGTAATCAAGAAAGATTAGTTGTCAAGATGGTGGCTATCAACTGGGGAGCCCCCTAAGTTTTAGGTGGTGCAAGAGCAACTGCATGAAGCCTATTTCTTTGATCGTATTTCAGGATTGTGACTGTTAGCTTAATTGAGGATTTGTGATTTATTAAGTTTGTTCCGTGGATTTCCAAACAGCACTTCAAAGCTTTATGCAAAATGGTTACGAATTTGACTACTTTTGCAGCGAACTGTTAAAAACTGAAACATGTTTGCGAAAACTATCAGCCTGTGTGTACTCGAAAGGAAGCTGAGTTCATGGAGAGATTTTATTCAGAGGTAGCTGTGTTGGTCCCAAATTATCCATATAAACCATATTATCCAATTATTGGTAGGTAGGATAAGTCCAGTCTTAGTTACAGCATGTTACGTCGAAGTTTTTGCTCGTTCTCGGTATGGAAGTACGGTATATAGATCTGTTTTCAATTAACGAACACAAATTAACAATTGAACCAAACTCCTATTTATATATCAAAGTTTATTCGCGATTTACAAATAGTTGACCCAAATGTCGTTCTAACAACAATAATTATGACAATTACAAAACAAACCTTCAATTTTGTAGGTTCCCAGAGCGAAAACTCCAAAATACCGAACCAATGACAAAGAGAAACCGAAATTTCCGAAATTAATTATATAAACAAACAATTTCAAAAGTTGATTAAAACAAATAGACGCAAAAATACAGTAAAATTATTAATATACAATAAACAGTTTTAAATTAACCAAATGTCTGCAGTTCTCCCGTCACACAGCATAGTTGGTTTTATACCCTCGAGATCATTCGTGTCATCTGTAATATTAACCAGGGGTAGACTGTTATCAATACATTCGGGCTCTAGCATGAATGTTTCAGGGTAATCATCTGCTAAAGTCTGTTCATTAACTCAGGTACTTAGTACCCTACAAACAGAGTGAATTTTTAGTTCTTAGACTCCTCTTCAGCAGCGAGACTGAAATGCCAGCCAATGCCTTCTTTGAGCAAGTCAGTATGTATGTGCTTTTATATCCAACCCCAAGAACATCTCCCTAAATAACGTTCAGTTCCGATCAACTTTTATCCATTAGCACTACATATCTATCTTAAACAGTTTCCGCTGCCAAAAAACTTCACTAGCGTTTCGGTGAACTAGTCAGCAGTAAAACTGTACACCATCTTTTGATTCATAGCTCTCAATCCTAGACAAGTAAATACACATCTGTAGCGGGTCTCGAGACTTTTGCTTTTCCTTACCATGATCGGTCGAAAGTTATCTACCTCAACTGATAAAACGGTCGGTCACTATGACCGATGGTGATAGTCCAATCAGTCGCTGAAGAGGACAGGCGTCCTTTCTTTTGCAATAAGCATAATTTGTCACCAACCTTTTCATGACTTGTCCCCTATTATTACCCAAAACCTTTTTCTGATTGCTACCATTATCTGTGTACAACCAATATATCTTAACTTATGATAATACTGTGAAGTCAAATCCGTAACGTTCTGCTTCGATGAAATCTGAAAATTTTTGGATTCGTCAACAACGGATTTTATGACTATTAAAGGCGTGACAGTCACTCTCTTTAGTTCTAATAGATGGAGGTCAGGACCCAGTTTGACGTCGGAAAACGGCCATCACATCTTAGATCTCTTTGGGGAATCTTGACTTTCCCTTCATACTCTAACATCACTGATGTCAAGCCTAATCTCTTTGGTAACAAAGTCTACCATATCCTACTTGGTAGGTGCACATCTACAATGTTTTGGACGGTATTTTTATTTCCTCATTCTGTCCTCCGATATTGTACCTTACTTTTGACCCGAGACTCTTGTAACAGCGTTTTATATCGTCCATCATTCTCACTCTCAGCGTTTATTCTTTGACTGTAGTTAAGATTTAACTCCTACTGTAGTTATCCTAGGGTTACTACCGATCAACGCTCGAGTAAATGAGGGGGATCAAGAGTGGGGTCAGAATCCTCATTCACTAAAAAACAACCTTGAAAGAAAAACACTAACCAGGATAAACATATTAAATAATTTAAAATCTGTCCTTGTGGTTGAAGGAAGAATTATGGCGCCCCATGGAGGAAGCCGAGATTCGTCGGGATTCACGAGGCGGATGACCCTTCTAACAATCAGGGCAAAAATCAATATAAGTGTTACGACTGAACTGCAGAACTAACGAACCCAAATTTATTCGATTAGACCAAATTACGTTTTTCTGTATGGCGTACGAAGCGTTTTCGTGTTACTCGTATTAAATTATATCAAACCACAAACTCTGTGCTCATTTTAAAATACTCTAGTTTAGGAAATAGAAAAAATTATATCAAAATACAAAATACCTCAAACGGTACAACCTGCACTATACAGTCAAAAGTTTCTCTAACACAAATTAGCGTGCTAAACAACAAAAGAAACAGTAAATACAAGGGAGTTCAATACTTGATAGCCAGTAAAAACATTCCCAACAAGATGGGATCAGAGATCTATCTGCAGGGATTTCAGTAATCCTCCCAAGCAGACAGTTAAAGGTTAACAGTCACACATTGAACCACACTGTGACCTTGAGCTTAGTCAAACACAACCTTACTGTCAATAATCCGGCAACATGCAATAGAAAATTGGGTGTCAAAAGATAAGTCTTTATAAAGTCCAAACAAGCATCGGAAACATTAACGTTTTCAGGGAATTTCAAAATATGTGCATGATTCACAATATTAACATAAGCATTGACCAATGTTTCTGAATAGAATGGTGTAACACCATAAAGCATGTCGTAAATAACAGCATCTAATGCCCACCAATCCACTTCGAATACATAACACCCACCACCAATTCCCTGTGATAAAAGAACTTCCGGACTAAAATAATCTGGTGTTCCAACAGCTGCATCACAGTGAATTAATGAAGTTTCCGGATCAACACGTATAGCAGTACCAAAATCAGCTGATTTTAAATGACCACCGGCATCTAATAATAAATTATCCGATTTTAAATCACGATGAATAAATCCCATTGCATGTAAACCAATTTAAGCAAGAATTGTTTAAGCTGCATAGAATCGACAAGCTGCTTCTGACATGAACTTCACTTCATCCATCCAACTGACAAGATTACCGCCGCGAACATATTCCATAATCATATATAAATTTTTTAAATCTTGATAAGCATAATATAATTCTACAATCCACGGACTTTCATCATGTGACATAATTTCTTTTTCGGCCCAATAATCTGTGTGTTGTGCAAGCATTCGAGATTTGTTTATTACTTTCATAGCACATACACAACCTGTTGTAATTTCACGAACAAGTTGAACACGACCAAATGCGCCGTGACCTGATGAACTGATAAATGAAAAATCTTCCGGTTTACGACGATATGACTGTAAACATACTGCTACATTGAGAAGTCTTTGTAAAAATGCTAACATGTTCTCATTTTTCACGTTTTTCAGTTTTTGTACATTCTGTGACGCATGCCACAACCACATCAAGAAGACTTTCAACATAACAATCTGAAAAAAGTGTCCGATAAATGCCTCTCCAAAGCCACAAGTCTTTCCTTGGTGTCTTTATACTGATCAGTATGGATTTCGCTAAGATTTAAGCATGACTTGTTCACGACGACTACAACTTTGGTAAACAGAAGTAGCGTGTTCATTTAACTAGCCACTACTCGTGACCTCATTTTGTCTTTAATCAAAGTCACATGATAATAAGTCAGACGAGGAAGACTGAAGAACGCAAATTGTGGTCAAAACATATCTGAACAAAGGTTAAAATACACGACAGGGAAAAGAAACAAATAAATGACAGTACTGTCCAACAAAAATACTTTTGGGGGAACTTCAGCGTCCTCCTTCTGTTACAGTGAAGGCACGGAATGTTCGGACAATATGGGAAACCGGAAGCTCAACCAAGTAGCTACGGGAATGAGGGACAAAACTAGGCGAAACCAGCGAAACCCATTGAACTCGAACTAGATAGCAAAGGTAATATACGGAAGAGGTACTGCCGTATCCAGGGCAAGAAGAGGAGAATGCTCCGTACACTCAGGGAATTGCTATGATGTTGCCCAAAGAAGAAAGGAAAGCACATACAGGAAGGGAATCTGATGGATCCAGGAACATCAAATCATCTTTTAAAACAAAAACGGAAGGAATCACAGTAAATGTTATCCAGTGTTATGCACCCACCAATGAAAGCAATAGAGACAACAAAAATCAGTTTTATGAGAGGTTGCGATTGATCATAGTGTAGTGCTGAAGAAAGGAACTGAGATCTAAACGCCAAAGTTGGAGTGGACAACACCGGACATGAAGATATCATGGGACGGCATGGAACGACTGGGCGAAAGGGACGAGAATGATGAGAGAGTTGCAAATTTATGTGCGTTCAACAAAATGGTTATAGGCGGCACAGTATTTCCACGCAAACGCATACACAAATCTACATGTGTTCAATCGGGTTAAACTACACAGAACCAGACCTACCATATTTGCATCACTTAAAGATTCAGAAGGTCAATAGAAAACGTGTGAACCAGGAGAGGAGCTGACATAGCTTAAGATCACCGCTAGCTGGTGGTTGCCAGGATGATGCTGAAGCTAAAGAAGCACTGGGCAACTGGACAAATAACATAAGAAAGGGTCAGTAGACACTTTTACGAGATAATGACAAACTCAACGAATTCAAGATGGCTCTCAACAACAGGTTTCAAGCCTTACAAGATCTACTCAAAGACGAAGAAACTACTATGGATGAAAGGAATGAAAGAGGCACTAACTACAACGTGTCAAGTGGTTCTGGGTCACAAGAAGCATTATCATGAGGAATGGTTCTCCGTGGAAACTCTGGACAGGATTCAAGAAAGGAAGAAGAAGAAGACATCAATTGAAAACAGCCGAACAAGAACAGAGCAAGTCAATGCACAAGCTGAATACAGAGACGCAATCAAGCAAATGAGGGGGAGAGTTCGGTCTGACAAGCAGAAATATGTGGAAGATCTAGCAATAACAGCGAAGAAAGTTGCAAGAGAAGAAAATATGAAACAACTATGTGATAAGACGAAGAACCTTGTAGGGAAATATAGTGAACCAGAGAGACAAGTCAAGCACGAAGAGAGCAAGCCTGTCACCGAAATTCAAGAACTGAGGAATATACGATGGAGAATACTTCAAGGAAGTCTTGAATAGACCAGCCCCATTGAATCTACCGGACATTGGAGCAGCACCGACAGAACATCGTATACCTGTCACTGTAAAACGATGGTAGAAATCAGGATGGCCATCAGACAAATGAAGAGTAAGAAGGCGAAGGGACTTGACAACATACCAGCCGAAGCACTGAAGTTGAACATAGAAGTAACCGCTAACATGCTCCATGTTTTATACAGGATGAATTTGGAGGAAGAACAATATACAGAGAAAGGATATCTGAGCAAGTGCAAGTACTACAGAGGCATCACACTACTATCGGTAACAGGAAAGGTTTGTACCGAGTGTTGCTGAACCGATGAAAGATTCAGTAGACGTCCAACTCCAAGACCAACAGACCGGATCGCAACACTACGGACCATTGTCGAGCAACCAATCGAATGAGATTTGTCACTATACATCCGATTCCTTGACTGTGAGAAAGCATTTTACAGTGTGAACAGGAGAACCTTATCCAACCTTCTCCGACACTATGGTGTGAGCACGTGAGGAAATCTTCAACATCATACGGAATTCATAGGACGGACTAAATGCAAAGTGGTGTAGGGGGGACAGCTGACCAATGCATTCTAAATGAGCATCGGAGTCAGGCAAGTCTGCTTACTCTCCCCCTTTCTCTTTCTTCTGGTGGTCGACTGGATTATGAAGACCTCCATATCTGAGAGAAAGCACGGAATACAATGGAAAGCTTGGGTGCAAATAGACGATCTGGACTTCACAGATGACCTGGTACTTCTATCCCATACACGCAAGCGAATGCCGATGAATACAACCTTCATCTGAAAGGCACAGATATTTATAATCAATTGTCTACGTAAGCTACTCAATGTCCGTTGACTGGAAACCACCAATATCAGCCTACTGTTTGAGAGAACAAACTAATTGACATCGAAAAAGGAAATGAGTAAAAGACTTTGGATATGTATTTCAACATTGACATGCTTCTTTCTTGTTTTCTAAGATGGCTGAAAGAGATGAAAAACTGACGAAGTTTATGATTAACAGAAACTTTCGTTAATAATTTTTTCGTCGCTGTATTGTATATAAGTGCAAGACGACCCTATGCTGTTAAACATAGCAAGCTGTCAGAAGTTTTCATCGACTGCAAGCTATCCAAATAGTGTTCACCGATTGCAAGCTCGTTTAGTTTAAACTTCTGCCTATCTACATCTTACGGTCATCACTACCCCACGAGGTGCGGTGAGCTGTGTTGGCAAATAAATATGAAAAATAAATAGTTCTGTAAGTCCGCAACGTTAATGCCGACCTCATTAATTTTACTGGACACATACTGACTGAGGGCACCCGGTCACGCATTCACACCACATCATGAGTATGTATACCGTGCTACGTATCTATTGTAACTACTAGTCAGTTTATGACAAATGCTACTGAACAAATCGAAAACCTTTAAAATATATCGTCGAACTCATTCTTACCTGACTTCTGATTTTACTAGGTTGGTATCCTTCCATTATGAAAGCGTTACGTATAAATTCGATGTCAAAATTCTGAGACTATACAGGTTATTAATGAGTTGAAAAACTTGGCGATATATCAATATTAACGCATCTGGATCTCGATTACCCCTCAATTTTATGATGGAACACTTCACAAAAAATATATATACAAACTATTCCATGGTTAGAGTCAGCGAGTTTCTCAAAAAAATAGTGTGAGCTTTGCTGAAGGCATTTTCTCTCGAATCTCTCGAAAGAGAGCATGATATTTATTTTGCCCTATAGGTATCGATGCACCCGTTTTTTACTGATAAATAAGAATGTGGTGTACAGTATTTTGGCGCGGTTCTCGTCAAATTTACTAGTTGTGTGCACATAAATCTGTAATCCCTATTTAAGTTTTCATTTCAAGTTATGCCTATTTGTCAGTTTTGAACATACGTGTGTTGCTCATGCTAACATACTGGACGAAATATACAGACATTGTAGAAATTACATTCTTACATGATGTACTCAGCCGCTAAAGTGTAGAAAAATACAGGATTAAACGCACTTAGTGATTATTGAGAGTAGATAACGTATTTCGTTTCACAAAAACATCACAAGGAACATACGTTTCCATCATTAAGAATGTTTTTGTTATACCAAAATGCGGATTCCAACTAAAACGGCTCGTTATTCCCAATGGGCAAGGTTGAAGCTAATATAGTGTGTAAACATTGTTTCCATACACCACATATCTGATACTTCGGAATTGGCGGTAATGAGAATATGCTCAAAGGTGTTGGTTTCGGATTTAGAGACCTGTCATCGAAGTAGGTGTAAACCTAAACAAGGTGTCTTATCGCTTTGCAATGAAAATGGAGATGTCATTATTTTCATCAATGAATCTTCCTCAAATACGTGCAGGAAATTCAAAGTATTTCTTAGTTGTTCTGAATATTGAAAATGTTTCAGACCTCAGCAAACATTGAAAGGCTATTCACCAATCACGTTAGAGTAGGAAACCTGACGATTCATCTGAAAATTCCCCCTAAATTTATAATGATTCATCAGGTATATTTGTTTTCCTGCAAACATGTTTGCTACTGATACTATAACTTATGTTCTTAATGTTTGGTTTCACTTCGTTAGTATTTCACTCTGCATTCAATTGCTTATTGTATGCGAGTTCACTGTCCATTCTTAAGAGCAAATATCGCGATGGTTGTGACGTTCGTTTAGACAGTGTCAAAACGTCACTGTTGTCAATTAACTGTACTGTATTTAGCTATTACATTATGAAGGTACACTTGTGGCCGACGACGAATTCATTTTTCAATCTAAATTAGTTCACTTATGTTTCTTTCTGTCTTTAATCATAAAGGTAACGTCAGTTCGACTTTCTTATTTTTAGTTTTGGCAAATCCGACAAGAAACTTCTCACTTTGAGTCAGTAATAAGAAGGGAATCTTCAAAATCGGTTAGATAGAGGGGTTTTTTCCTACTATTGTCCTGACTGATGTCTATTTGGTACATTTATGATTAGTCAATAGTTAAGAATTGTTTACATCAAACGGTTCCCGATTGAACCATATTAATCATCTGATTATATTCAGCATTCTTGCGACTACTACACAGTAGAGTTATGCTTACATAATGTGCAAAAATGCACAGATGTAAATACACTTGTTTTCTGACACATTAACGAGTACCAAGGACCATATGTTAATTTATCTCCTTCAAGTTCGAAAGTATTTCTAGATATGTAGTTGC